TTGAAGTTGTGTGGAATTCAGTTGTTAGGGGTCCTTGTGGTCAGGTGTGACCCGTACAGATCCTTCTTGACTATTGACATTGAGGATGGTGGGGGTTCTTTACTGACTCCTGTCTCAGGTCCTCCAAGCTTAGTCCTCCATACAATCCCCATGAGACCACAATGTTCACCCAGCATCATGCTCTGCAGACCAGGATCCCAGAGACATGAATCGACAAGCTACTGAAGTGACATCTGCAGAGCCTCCATTCCTTACTGACAGATCCCATTTTCACCTTGGAGTTCTTTGGTGCTGGAAAGGTCATCAGTGAGGGAGTTCATAGGGAAAAAGGGCAGCAAGAAAGAATCAAGGGAGAAGATAACTTTCACCAAAGCAAAAAACTGTCAGTGCTGAAAATCTGAAACAAACAGAACAAAAATATTAGAAATGGTCAACAGACTGGCCAGTATCTGTGAAGGCAAACAGTTAACTGATCAACTGGAGATGACCTTTTATCAGAAGTGAAGAAAGATAAAAATGTAAGAGTTTCTGAGCCGGTGGAAGGAGGAAAGGGGCAGGAAGAGCAAAAGTAGAGGTCTGTGATAGGTTGATAGCAAGGACTGCAGATGCTGGAAGTCAGTGTTGATAAACTGGAGCTAGAGGAACACAGCAGATCAGACAGCATCTGAGGAGGAGGTAAGTCAACATTTTGGGTCAGGGCCCTTCATCAGGACTGAAGGGCAGGAGAGATTAAATGCTGAAACATTTAATGATAGAACCACAAAAGAGTGTGCTAATGGATAGTAAATGGTCAAGAAACAACAAACATGCCTAGATGCAGTTTGAATGGCTACATACATTCTGAGCGCAATATGAAAGGATAAAGAAGGAAATCAGACAAAACCAATCCCAATAATAAAAAAACAAATACAGTGAAGAAGGTAATGTGGCAGAGGTTATAGTCTGTTGTTGCTGAATCCGATGTAAAATCCAGATGGTTGTAGTGAGCTGAGTCAAAAGCTAAGGTGCTGTTCTTCAAGCTTGCATTGAGTTTCACTGGAACACTGCAACAGGATATGGACAGAAAGGCCAGCACAGGAATACGGTGGAGAAATAAAAATGACAAGCAACCAGAAGCTTAGGGTTGTACTTACAGATTAAATAGATTGAACACTGTTGAAGGAAGTAGTTACCCAGTTTACATTTGGTCTCCCCCAAAGTATAGGAGACCTCACCTACATTCTTCCCTCTTTCACCGGCTTAAAAACTCTTAAATTTCAACCTTTCTCTAGTTCTGATGATTGGTCACCTCAAGCAGTAGCATAATTCAGTTTCTCTCTCCACAGATCCTGCCTGATCTGTGGAATATTTCAGCTTGATAACCTAACTTAGCTGCTGTTGCCTGAAAAGGAGTATTCAAACCTTTTGTCTAGGTATTCTTCCCTTGTGTGATAGACAAAAGACAGGGACCAGACTCAGACTTCAAGTAAACAAACCCTTTTCTTAATTTAACTCTTTAACTACCAATACTCAATATAAACCACACATTCATTGCAACGTTTACTTCTCTCTTCATCTAATTTTACTTCAGCTTTAACTCACTTCATTTAATTTCACTTTACTGTAACTTAATTTACATTTAAGCCTAACTTTTACTTTAACTCAGTAAGTTTGGCTTGAAACAAATACTACGCCGATTTGCGTGATGTGGCCAACTTTGTTCTCTGTGTGGGTCGTGCCTCATGGTTCTTTATCTTCTCTGAAAATTACTTCAAGGCATATGCTTTTCAAATGTGGCATGGGAGGCTTCTTTTGAGAAAATTCCTTTGTTCCGTTAAACACTTAGCCAATTAATTGATCAAAGCCTGATCACATTGTTCAATCCCAGCCAAGGGAATTTACTGGTAAACAACTCCCAAATGTTTACACCAAGCCATAAACATGCACACACCATACTTCATATAAACAGCATATATTTAGAGACACCATGATGCTTGCTTTATTTGGCCAGCACAAGAAACCGAAGATCACAACCTGCAACCGCAGGAAGTGCTACACCTGCCCCCATACCTCCTCCCTCACCCCCATCCCAGGCCCCAAGAAGACTTTCCACATCAAGCAGATGTTCACCTGCACATCTGCCAATGTGGTATACTGCATCCGTTGTACCCGGTGTGGCTTCCTCTACATCGGGGAAACCAAGCGGAGGCTCGGGGACCGCTTTGCAGAACAACTGCACCTCCCAGTCGCGAACCATTTCAACTCCCCCTCCCATTCCTCAGACGACATGTCCATCCTGGGCCTCCTGCAGTGCCACAACGATGCCACCCGAAGGTTGCAGGAACAGCAACTCATATTCCGCTTGGGAACCCTGCAGCCCAATGGTATCAATGTGGATTTCACAAGCTTCACAATCTCCCCTTCCCCTACCACATCCCAAAACCAGTCCAGCTCGTCCCTGCCTCCCTAACCTGTTCTTCCTCCCACCTCAAGCCGCACCTCCATCTCCTACCGACTAACCTCATCCCGCCCCCTTGACCTGTCCGTCCTCCCTGGACTGACCTATCCCCTCCCTAACTCCCCACCTACACTCACTTTTACCGGCCCCATCCCCGCCTCTTCGACCTGTTTGTTTCCTCTCCACCTATCCTCTCCTCTATCCATCTTCTATCCGCCTCCCACTCTCTCCCTATTTATTTCAGAACCCCCTTCCCCTCCCCCTTTTCTGATGAAGGGTCTAGGCCCGAAACATCAGTCTCTCTGCTCCTGTGATGCTGCTTGGCCTGCTGTGTTCATCCAGCCCTGCACCTTGATGTCCTGGCTGTAGTTTAACTGATGTCAGGGTTTAAACAAACTTGACAAAAATTCCCAGCATGCTTGATTGTAGCTTTTAACCAATCTTGTTGCCATTTCTGCTGGCAGCCACCTGACCACATTGCTCAGGAGAAATTTACATTGTAAGCAAAATTGGGACTCATATAAATATCATTTCATGCCACAACCTCCACCCTTGATATTCTTGATGGGTTTCTGGCCCCCACCTTAAACAGCTCATCTCTTCTGCTCGATTTCTTCATTAGGAGGACATGGAAGACCAGTTTCATGAGATTTGGTGTACACCTCTTTGATAAAAAGTTACCTATTTCTTCCTTTGCTTCCAACAATGCATTCCCTTCCCCTTAAACAATAGCAACTTTTGCATCCCAAACATAAAATCCCCAACTCTATTTTTAATTGAATGCAATTCTGAAATTCTACATAGGTTTCCTCATTCCATGTTTTACAGTTAGTTTAAACATTAATGCTGCATGGTTTAGTATTGCATAGTTTAATATTGCACTACTTAATGGCGTACAGTTAAACATTATACAATTTAATATTGCACAGTTTAACACTGTGCAAGACAAAGCCTATTTTCTCAAGTCAATGTATTGCACAGCCTTCACATACACTGCAATCGGAACAAGATTGCACAGCAGTTAAATCATCTGCAGTATTATTGTTCAAACATGTACAGTATGAACAAACCCACAAGCGCAGCACTTAGCTGAGAACAGCTAGTCGTTTTGTTTTAGCTTGACCTTGTTACCTAGCTCCTTCTGGGCTTTGAGTAGCAACATTCTGCCCTGACAACAGTGCAGCCATGGCAATGCTGGGCACCAACATGCTGTTACCAAAGACTGGTGACACTCATTAAGTTTCTAACTAATTGTAATACAATACAGAATGCAGTACAGAAAGCCAAAGAATTTGCAATTCTTTAATAATGACTTGGATGTTCCACGGAATACCAATCACAGTTTGATTGCCAATCGAGTGGTACATTTTTCCATTAGTACTGTTACCAGTACTGAGCAATTTCCATCCTGGCTTCTTCAGAAATGCAGAGTGTACATGAAAATGTAACATTTACCCTATTGTGCAGGATACAGAGGACGGGTGAGGGGGCAGGGAAGTCACACCATGGCACCCTGCACCTTATAACAGTCACTGTGCCATATTCTGTGATTTCGGTGTCCAGCAGAACAGCAAGACACTTTGACAGGTGCTGAGAAAAGGTGAATATGTTATGTGAGCATAGAGTAAGGGTGGCAGTCAGTTAATGGGGTTAGGATGCCAAGTGGTCAGGGTGCCTGGTGGATGGAGTGCCTGTTAAGTAAGATGCCAGGTGGGTAGAGTACCCAGTGGACCAGGTGCCAGCTAAGTAATGTAGTGCTTAGGGTAGGTTAAGTCCAAGTGGTGCTGGGCTAGCAGTGATTTGGTTTGGCATGTCAGGGTGGTGATAGCTAGAGAATTTTGTCAGGGACAGCTGATGATGGGTATGACCGGGCCACCAAATGAGGAGAATGTCATGCCAGAGTGCGAGGGGGATGGCATGCCTGGTGGGTGAGGGGTATGTCACAGCCAGCGGTTGAGGGTGTGCCCAGACCAGCAGGTGTTGGGACTAGTGAGTGATGGCATGTTGAAGCCAAGGCAGGTTCAGGCATTGGTGGGTTGATGTCAGGTCCCAGGAGATTGAAATCATGTAGGGTTGGGAGGACTGATCAGGGAGTGGTTGTTATCAGGGATCTGGGGCATATGCATCTAATGGATACATAATTCAGTTAGGGGTGGTATTTGAGTGGGAGGGCATCAGTGTAATTGTTCTCCGAGTTTTGAATTGTTGCATCTTGTGTTCCTTAACGCCTGAAATGAAAATAAGAAGTTTCTTGTTAGCATGGCGAATGATGAGGATGGTGAAGTGGAACTGGGGAGCAGTGCAGCTTTGAGCCAACGTGATGCAGTGCTGTTGGAGAGAGAGGTGGAGAACGTTTATATGACAATGCATAGCTCTCAGTGTGGATATCAGGTGCAGTGAGAACAGCTGCCTGTAGAAAGTTGAACATCATGGAGATACCTATGATCCTGGCTGGATTCAAATGACGGATGAAACTTGAGTTGGAATCCACAGGGGTGGGTCTGAGCCAGAGGCAATGACTGAGGAATGTGATGCAGCTGTGGAAATGAGTTTTAGCACATACCTTGTCAAACACCAGGACAGCAAAATTAATGACGGTGGACAAGAGAAAAGACTGGAACAGAACTCCTGTCAGAGGAGCAGAACTTCTTCAAGGTAGGCATGCCTGGAAGAGATATGGCAGTGAGTTAAATACTAAATAAGAATCTTAATACTAGGAATTATCACTTGGGTGTCTTCTTAGTCATTCATACAAATTTGCAAAAGCTACCATGCATCTCCCAAAGAAAGTCATAATTTTGGTGCCCTTCAACTAAGCCAGTTGCCTTGCAGCAGCATCCTTGAAGTGGCGAATCAAAGGAAGGCAGCTGATCGAGGGCTGGTAGTGGTGCTGCTACTCCTTCAGGCTCCTCATTCAGAAAGAAGCATAAGAGAAACTTAATTTCTCCATGGCCATTATCAGTAGTCGCTTTAAGGACCACTGGTAAATCTGCATTCAATCCAAATAATCCTGGTGTGTCCAACACATGATTGAGGCAGCTTAGAGATTCCTGAAAATGTTGGCTGACAAAATATTGATTCCAAGATTTTTAAGGTGTCATTGGGATGTGGACATAGCACCATAAAATTATTTATTTTTCTCCAGGTTTTCAACCTGAAAAGTAGGAGCAACGTGGTCCATTGTCTCCCCTTTTGTATTGAGCAGGATGTTCGATGGTTATGGGTGAAAACAGCTAAGTGATTAAGAGGCAGGATAACGTCTGCTTAGTGACACACTGACAGATACGTAGACAAACAGCATTACAGGATCAATATAGTATTGAGGAAAAGGACATTAGAAGTGCCTGTTAATAGAGTTTATAGCTGAGGGTTGTTTGTTTGCTTGTTTAATGTTGAATAAATTTGGTCTCCAATCTAAACTGCAACCTTATACATTTCTATTTAATGAAGGTAAAACAATCATATAGGCATTTAATATATTCTAGTCAATCAGAGGACAGAGATAAGAATTGTCTCAATCCTGAGTTCTGTAGTGTTTAATTGTTCTCTGCTTGCTTATGTGAGTCTGTTTGTAATTTGTGCTCAGTGTGATCGATTAGTTAACCCTGGGTGTGAACTCAGAGAAAACAAAGATGTAGAAATCTGAAGTAAATATTTTAAACTACTGTCAATAAAACCTTTGTACACGTAGAAACCTATGTCAACACCAGATTGATCAGAGATATAAAATATACAATATATATCATTACATTTACTTGGTTATTAAGTAAATCGGGCAAGATCTGATTATGGGAAGATCCAATTACAAACATTAAAACATAGAAGATCGGAGCAGGAGGAGGCCATTTGGCCCTTTGAGCCTGATCCATCATTCTTCACAATCATGGCTGATCATCCAACTCAATAGCCTAATCCTGCTTTCTCCCCATAACCTTTGATCCCATTTGTCCCAAGTGCTATATCTATTCACCTCTTGAATACATTCAATGTTTTGGCATCAACTACTTCCTGTGGTAATGAATTCCACAGACTCACCAGTCTTTGGGTGAAGAAATGTCTCCTCATCTCCGTCCTAAGTCGTCTATCCCAAATCCTCAGACTGTGACCCCTGGTTCTGGATACATCCACCATCAGGAATATTCTCCCTGCATCTACCCTGTCCAGTCCTGTTAGAATTTGATAAGTCTTTATGAGATCACCCCTCAATCGTCTGAACTTCAACGAAAACAATCCCAACCTAGTCAATCTCTCCTCATACATCAGACCGCCATCCCCGGAATCAGCCTGGTAAACCTTTGCTGCACAAGGAAATATCCAGTTTAAGTATGTGCAAAGGACATGTGCCCTCAGGTGTTGCTGTCCTGAATTACTTCAAGGTGGAAAAGCAAATTGAGACTGGTTCCATCAGATCCTGTGCCTTTCCTCCCTCCACACCACGTTTTTTGTGCTGCTTTACATTTTCTGTAGTTTGCCATATACAGAGGTTCTTGGTTCTTAACCTTAAACAGACACATGGCCGGTCTCGCTGAGGGAATGAGGTGGCCAGTTGTGTTTCGAAGCCAGCTCCCCAGTCTCTGTTGCCCAAGGAAATTCCATAGCCTCAATCCACAAGGGGAGGGGACAGCAAAGGAGAGGGGAGCTGTTGGGGTAGATGTTCCCTCCTATTGGGTGGCCAGTGGCTGGGGGTGGGAAGGGGATGTTAGAGAGAGGCATTCATGTGACGAGACCTCTGGGAATTCATCCAGCCTTGCAGTTGGCAACCGTCTCCTGTGGGACCATGGTGATCAGTTGAAGCCAAATTCTGGGAGTCTGTGCATATTTCCATGGAAACAGTAAAGCAATGTCTTTGCATTGCAGCTGTCAGTGCGCACTGTCAGCCTCTGGGGAAGGAAATCTTGCAACACGCCACATTACAGCAGCTACAAATGGAAATATTTCTTGAAGTGTCAAAATACCAACAGCTACTTAGAAATTAGTCGAGAAAGCTGATTTACCGGGATGTCGTCACCGCCTTTGGGTTTGCTTCTATCTGAAGGAAGGTTGCAATAGCCTATTCCGGACCTTGCCGGAGAAACTGCAAACACCTTAAATAAACCCTTTTTTTTAAACAAAGGGTTAACGAGTATGTCCAAACTGCAAAAAACAAACGAATGCTTGACACTTGTACTGTACTCTACAGAGTATTCTGCTGGGTGTTAACCTTTTTATTTTAAGTTAAAACACTACACATAAAAAATAATATGGTATGATTACATGAAAAATTATTATAACGTCAATCCGAATCGCAAGGGTCGAATTTTCAAAGGACTGCCAGGATCCTGATAATTCACCGCTCTGGCAACACATTTTAGTCAATGTGAGTGGATGGGAGGTGAGCTCAGCACCCAATCAGAGGAGTTTAAGAGATCGTTCATCGGTGGCGAGGAGCTTTCTGAAATTGCAAACTGAAATGTACAAACTAGCAAAGGGATCAGCGCCGCTCTTTCACATAACATCTAAACTCTGCCTGCACCAATTCCCCACCCCACATCGACAATTGCACATCCAGCCCTCCGACTCTTGTTTATTTTTAGTTGAGGTTTAGCTGCGCTATCGAGCAACACTTAGGGCCATCTACACTTACAAACTGGTGAAATGTCATGCGAGGATGACGCTGACTCAGGATGTAATGACCAAATTAGGTCAGTGATCTTCTAGAAAAATGTCAGTCTTCGGGGGCAGGGCCTGCAACTTGTGGCTTTTGTGGCTTAATCGTTATCACTAAAGCACAGCAGAAGCCTCTGTTCCCGTTATCTCTACTGGAGAAAAATTGAAATCAAGTGTTCCCACAGTTTATCAAACAATTTAAATTAGAGTCAGATCATTAAAGTAAGATTTTAGAGTAGATAATTTACTAATTCGCTTCATTGAACAGAGAATTTTTAAAATTACACTGTGTTTCCAATATATTAGTGCAGCCAAACAAGCTGCAACAAACAATGGTAACCCAAAACTTATGACAAACACAATTAACAACTTCATCCTTTTATGTTAGTGTTTAATTCACTGCCATTTCTCTTGGTGGAATACCCACCCTGGTAAAGCTCTGCCTTTCACTCTGACAGGATTGCTGTTTGGCTTCTCCATCCAGTTTCATCTCTGCCATTTTCCATTAAAAGTTGGGCACAGTTTAGCGCCCTCCCCTGGGGTGGGTTTGATGATAGAGGGGTCATTTACTCAGGTGAGAGGGTGATGGGTCGGGTCCCCGTTGTCTTCCCAAATCCATGGCAGAAGGGCTCATGGATGGCCTCTCCATTGCTGATTGAGGCACTCAAAGGAGCAATTAATGCCCCCTTGAGTGCCTCACTGCTGATACTAACACAGTAGTGGGCAGGGTGCTCACCATCCACTGGGCAATGTAGGGTTGCTTGTGTTACACTGGGATGCCCTTATTCAAAGGAGCCAGCATTGGGAAGATGAGGGTTCACTGAGAAGCAATCTGAGCCTCAGCCTCAGTATGTGCAGCAACTTACTGAAGGTGCTACATGAGCTAAGTGACCAGCACCTTGCATTAAAAAGGGAGGGTCTGCTGTACTGTGAGCTATTGACCTCCCAGACCCACACCAACCATGAAACCTATCATTGCATTTAGTAGGGTCCAATATAATTCTTATGTAACAGATAATAAAGTGGTCATGTCCACCTCCCATAATGTCCTTGGATTGGCCTCTTTTTGCGTCATTGCTGATAACTCTGCATCATCGAGATGCCAATGTTCGAGGACCTTCGACCAGCATCTGAACCTTAAGCACGTTCAGTCTGCATGTAGTTTTATTTTTTTTGTTCATAGGATGAAAGCATAGCTGGGTAAGCTAGCATTTATTGGGCAATTAGGGATGGGCAGAGTTAAGAATCACCCACATTACCCTCGAATCACATGTAGGCCAGACCAACTAAGGATGGCAGTTTCCTTCCCTAAAGGGCGTTAATGAATCAGATGGTTCCCATCACTGCAGCTACATTTAATTGGCAATCTTCTCATTGATCATTTGCAACACAGTCAATCATCTGGCTCACTAATGTCCTTCAGGGAGTTCAATCACAGCTGAAAACTACAGAATCTCAAACAATCTGCAAAAATAAGGATTTTGAAATCAATTATTTCACTAGCAATCTCAACTCTACTGGTAACATCTACTGCAACAGCCATAGCATTCAACTAGCTGCTCTTCACGAACAATTCAGAGACTGAACCATATTTCTTATTTTTACTATTTCTCTTTTTGCTCTCCCCTGTTATTTTTAAATGTGTTTGTTTGTATGTTGTATTACTTTTTCTTCTCATATCAAGTAATTAATAAACTTTTTCTTAATTCAGGAAAGTCTGGCTAAATTGACTCTGTTTAAAAGCATAATTTCTTTGGGCCTGGGGAAGAGGTATTCACAAGGGAAGGGAATTAACCTTGTTGCAACCAGCCAAGGTGGAATTGGAAAAAAAATTGGAAATCTCGCCTGTGTGTGATCAAAGTAATGTTAATTGAGATTGATTCTCTGTGATGATAGATTGTAAATGGTGAGAACACATGAGTCAGACATTTCTCACCCACCCAAAGGCAAAATTTCGTCTTTGGTAGTTCCAAATCCACGTTCAGGGGCTGGGGGATATAGTCACTGATCTGGGATTTTGAGCAAAGCACCATTTTAATTGGCATGGAGAAAGGTTCCTTGACCAATGGTGGCTGATAGCTCCTCTAAGATGGAGAGCTAATCAGAGGCCTTTCATTTTGAACAGAATTGCAGGCTGGAGGAAAGAGTAAGTGACTGAGAAGGTGTCTCTATGATACTCTCTATCTAACTTATTTAAAAACTCAAATTTTAAAAAAAGTAGCAAAAGCAGCCAGATCACCACTGTGGGAGTATTGGAAACTATGGGTACACTAAGGCAGGAATGGAGGGTCTATAAGCCTGTCAGATGCACTGGTTTCCCCCAGCCTGCTTTTGGGCTGTTAAATTTTCTCTCACAGGTCCAAGAAAGTGGAGACTGGCAGGGAAATCTCAGCCATTATCCTTTGACTACACCTAAGAATACTTTTAAGAAGCCTAATTGGCTGCTCCCTGCACAGGGTGAGTAACAAGGAAAGGTTCTGGCCCTGCATTCCCTAAAAGGGTCAACACCTGGAATGGGGTCAGGAAAGCGACATATCAGCTGAAACTGGTATTTTGGGCCAACATCAGTCAGTAACATCTGAGGTTACTCATACACCTCCCAGTTAACACTTGAGAACAACGTAACTCTTCACATTGGCTTTTATTCCCATTACAACTAATGGAAATAGTTTCCATTCCATAAACCTTATCTAGCCATAAAAACATAAGATTATACAACCAAGCCATCCCTGACTATAATATATCTGTAACATCATCCAAGTTAAAAGCTAATGCAGCCAGGTTTATGTTCTGCAGCATTAAGTCAAAGATTGTTCAAAGATGTTCTTTGTAAAGACCCATAATCTTATCACTTTAGAGAGGTTTAGGTCTTTATGTAAAAATAAATGTGATACACCATTTTTCTTGTTTCCAAGCATTCGATGCAATGATATAAATTATGTATAAATACATCAGCTCTCCACTATTAAAGATTCATTGTGGCAAAAAGAAGACAGACCACTTTTTCTTCACCAAACTGGCTTTTCTCTCTTTCATCAAGACATTGCCCTTTAAAAGCCATTTTCCTGGCAAAAACAGCATGGACAGATTTTAGGTCTTGGGCCATGGACCAAACTAATCAAATCACCATTTTCATCTGAGGTCTCTGCAAAGGGTGATATCAAGTGAATGCTCACCACACTAAAAGTAGGAACGCAGATAACATTTAGCCATGTTCTAACGTAAGAACATACAAATGGCTTTCAATGTCTTTGTCATTCAATAAGGTCATGGCTAACCTTCAACCTCAACGCCACCTGTCTGCCCAGTTCACATTTTCCTTACTTCCATTGAGTCCAAAAACATATCACTGTCAGCCTTGAATTTACTCAACTCATGAGCATCCAGAGCCCTCTTGGGTAGGGAATTCCAAAGTCTCACTACTTTCCAGTCTGTTCACCTCAGTCATCGAGTCATAGAGCTGTAGAGCATGGAGACAGACCCTTCAGTCCAACTCGTCCATGCCGACCAGATATCCTAAATAAATCTACTCCCATTAACCAGCATTTGGCCCATATCACGCTAAAAACTTCCTTTTCATATATCCACCCATCTGTCTTTTAAAAGTTGTAATTGTAGCAGCCTCCATCACTTCCTCTAGTAGCTCATTCCATACACGCACCACCCTCTGCATGAAAAAGTTGCCCGTTAGGTCCCTTTTAAATCTTTCCCCTTTCACCTTAAACTTATGCCCTCTAGTTTTGGACTCCCCCACCCTGGGGAAAAGACCTTGTCTATTCACCCTTTCCATGCCCTCATGATTTTATAAACCTCTATAAGTTCACCTCTCGGCCTCTGATGCTCCAGGGAAAATAGTCCCAGCCTATTCAGCCTCTCCCTATAACTCAAACTCTCCAACTCCTGCAACAATCTTGTGAATCTTTTCTGAACCCTTTCAAGTTTCACAACATCCAATAGCAATCCTACTTGGTCACCTGCTCATCATCTTACTATGCTTCCTATTCCAGATTTTTCAGCCAAGGGAATCTGTATTTTGATATTTAAGGCCATAGACTATGAGAAATAGGAACAGGAATAGGCTGTTTGGCTCCCTTGAGCCTGCTCGCTCTTCAGTAGAATCAGGGCTAATCCAACATTCCTCATATCTACCTCCTTGCATTTTCATATCCACTTTCCTGCATTTTCCCCATATCCTTGAATCTACTTCCAGTCAAGAATCTATCTATCTCAGCCTTAAATATACACAAGGACTCTGCCCACAGCTCTCTATAGTAAGGAGTTCCAAAGATTCACAAATCCCTAAAAGAAGAAATTCCTTCTCATCTTTGTCTTAAATTTATTCAGAAACTGTGCCCTCTGGTTCTAGACTCTCCCATGAGGGAAACATCCTCTAAGCATTTACCCTGTCAAGCCCCTTAAGAATCCTATATGTTTCAATGAGATCACCACTTATTCTCCTAAACACCATTAAGTAGGGTCCCAACCTACTTTGCACATTCGACAATCCCTCCAAACCAAGGATCACCCTAGAGAACCTTCTCTAAACTGCCCCCAATGGAATGATATCTTTCCTTAAATAAAGTGAACAAAACTGCTCACAGTACTCCAGATGTGATTTCACCAGCACCTTGTACAGTTGCAGTAAGACTTCACTACTTTTATACACCAACTCCCTTTAAATAAGAGTCAACATTCCATTGGCCATCCTGATTACTTGCTGCACGTGTGCTAGCTTTCAGTGTTTTGTGCACAAGTATC